TGCTATTGTTCATGGATGTGGTATAATAAATTCTAGTATATTGTTTTGCAAGAAGCTTTGTTTTTGTTTTTTATGTAGGAGGTATAATAGGTGCATTTTTAACTGGTTTATTTCCTGAAAAATGGGTAAATTCAAGAGACGGCGTTGATGGTGCTTTTTATGGACGACCAATTCAAATTTGGTACCAAATTGCTGGCATCCTTACTGCCATTGGTAAATATATAATATTTGAATTTGAAATTTAATGATGATAATGTTACTAGGTTTTGCTTCTGCATGTACAGCTGGTATTCTTTTTCCTTTGGATTTGATTATGGGTATTCGTTTGGGCAAAGAAGATGAACTTCAAGGACTCGATATAACTGGTAAAATCCGATTTTTTGTTCTAAAGTGAAAATAAATATATACGTTTTATTTTAGCACATGGTGAAAGTTGGGAAGTAACTGCATCACGAGCTGTTAGTGATCTTGTGAAAAAAGTATTACAAGAACAAGGTACTACAAAAGAAGAGGCTGAGGATGCTGGAACTTTTGAATTACATTATAATCCTAAAAACTCAAATAGAAAATCATTTAAAATTCCTCTGTTTAAACGAATAAGGTCACGCCATGCTCAACTTAATACGGACCCAGTAAATAATAATCAACTACAAGAGAACCATAACGAAATAAGGTTTAATGACGATGAAATTAACAGACAAGCAATTGATACACATATGATTCGCTTTTAAATATATTTGCATGTTGTTATGTTTAATATTGTAATTAATAAATTTTCTTTTCGTTTTCAATTTAATATCAAAATAACTATGATAGAAATAATACATGAATAAAAATTCAAAATGTTAGCATATCATTACAAATTATAATGCTTTGAAAAGAAATTTTCTTTCTTTGTATATTCTTCATAACACAGTGAGTGTTTAAGAGCGGTCATGCATAATATGTACAGACATTCAACGATTGATTATTTATACATATTTGATGAAGCTATGGAGAGAGAGAAGAAAAGTAAAATAAATTGTAAGGTTCATTATTCATTTAATAATTGTCAAAAGTACATTGCCGTATTTTTTTTTACCAAAGAAGGAATACTACAAATACAATGAATTATAATACAGGTGATAAAACTTCGATGATGATATCTAAACACGTCATTTGTTTTATTCAGAATAATTATATACAAATTAAGACATGTTTGTACAAATATATATTTTGAATATTATCTATAAGTATATGCTTCAAAAAAAAAACAATATCTCGATATTTTTGTAGAAATAATGAATGTCTCTTTTTCACATAAATCAATCACTAGAAGTATATTAATAATAATAATAAATTACGAAAAATTATATTGGACACCTATAGAAAAAGATTTTATCTCAAAATAGAGAAATAAATAAAACACATCACGCTTTTGATGATCAATTATATTTGGACAACATGAAGCCGTAAAGGAGCTGCATTGATAAGCTTTTTCGCAAAACAATATCTTCCGTTTATTATAAAGAGATCATAGCTAATTGTCTTCTTACGTGCAACCTAAGCATTGTAAATACTTCATCGATATGCTAGTCTATTAAAATCAATTGATTTGTACAAGATGAATCTTTTTTTTTTTCTATGGACAATTTCAATCTCTCTCTCTCTCTTATTGTATGAATAATACTAAAGAAAAGTAATTCGACAAAGCGAGAAACAAATAAAATAATGTCTCTGAATGAAATTTTATTCTCTTGAACTTGTATTTCATTTGTTAGTCTTTACTTTGATTCATTTTTCTGAAGGACATTGCTTTTGTTTTCTGATCGAAAATTTTTAGATTTTTTGCTGTATCATTTCCAATCTGTTTATATATAATTGAAGAACTAATATATAGGTGTTCAAATGGAAACATCGAATAATATGCAACATTTTTGCTGAAAAATAAAAATTTATAGTGTATAACTGCTTTTTTTTGGCAAAAAAAAACTAAAGAATCGTTTCATTTTTTCAACCACAATGTATCTAACTGAGTTAGAAATTTCTTCTAATCATATTAAAAAAATATTTAGAATGTCTAATATTTTTGATTTTAAAATATGATGTACCTCTAATTTAAGTGAAGATTCCCAGGTCGAATTCACCCTGTCGAATCCGATAGAAATTCGCCGGAATTTGTCGGAATCCTAACCACAGGATTCCGACAAGTGGTTCTGGATGTCGGAAAGTGTCGGAGTTTCAGGGATTTCGCAGGATCCTGATTATTCCGCCATCCGGAACCTCCTGTCGGAATCCTGTGGCTAGGACGCCGACAACTTCCGACGAGTTCCCGTCGGATCCGTTAAAATCCGGTAATTTTTCCGATATAATCCGATATAATCCGACGTAATCCGACAGTCGGATCGAATCACCTGGGTTTACAAAGCAAGCTTCATGTAAAAAAGACACATATATCTTTGAGAATGGCTTTCATACTTTTTAGCGTTTTATTCAAACAAATACCGATACCTACTTTGAATATTGTTTAGTCTCTGTAAGAAAATGTTTGATTGTAGCCTACAATATTATTGAAAAGAACGGGCAATCTATAAGGATGTGGTCATTTTCAGTCTATAACAAGAATTTGTACTCTACTCAGCTATATCTATCTGAGCTAAAATGTTCAGATTATTGAATATAAAAGAATTTTTCAAATCTTTAAGTTTTCTTGAAATGCATATGGCAATTCAAGTAAAAAAGAGATTATTTTTTTGATTACATAACCACGAATATCTGTTTGAGTACATAATAACACCGTGTGATATGAACAGTTCGTTCTGTTTTTTTTTAATTTTTTAATGATTGAGGTTGTAACTTATGTAAATGAATGATTAATTTTGCTCTTTTATTTGAATATCATCATAAAAACAAGTTACTCATGTTGTTTTTCAAACTTTGAACAATCAAATGTTCAAAAGTAATGAGTTTATTGTTTGGTATAATTAACAAAGAAATTATGAGGACATCAAGTATCATACTAATATACGAAACATTAGATAAAGTTTTTTTGTGTCTTCATTGTATCGATATCTGAAACCACTAACCCCAACATTTTAGTATCCAGTGTTATTTATTTTAAAAAAGGTGACTTTTATATATTTATTATGCAACTTTTTATTCTTTAGAGAATGGTAAGAAAATATGCAGAAATGTATGGTACGTTCAGAGCGAAACAAAATTCACATCACTCTCTCACACAATGGTATTTGATGATTTTTTAATAAAAAAAAAAACCATTATGTGTGAGAGAGATATGAATTTCGTCTCGTGCCGAATATGTCATACATTTCTGCATATTTTCTTACCATTCTCTAGAAAATAAAAAGTTGTATGACAGATATATGAAATTCAACTTGAAACTTTAAAAATAAATTCCAGTAAGTAATAGATTGTCATCAAATGGATATTTTGGCTCAATCAAAAGAATCACTTTAAAATCATATTGTCCTTATAAAGCTTAAATCAATCAATATTGTAATATATTGCAATAGGTTATCTTATTCAATTGTTCATTCTCTATCTTGTAGTAAAATTTATAAGAACTTTGGTATGATTTGCTGAGTATTTTTTGCTGGTTTTTCTCATATGCATATGATAGCCGCAAAAAAAAATTATTATTGACTGACTTTTGAAAGAAAAGGTATTAGATGCTAAAATTTTGGGGTTCGTGACTTCAAACATCGATGCAATGAATATACAAAAAGAAAAGAAAATTTTTTTATTCAATGCCTTCTATACTCGATAGTGTCATGATTACCTTATGCTTTTATTCATGATGAGAACAATGGATTGTATAGAAGCCTAATGTTCGATTTGTAATTATTGATACCATCGATTATACAATTCTTTTCAAAATTGAACAAAAAAAAAAATCATGGTTTAAGAGAAAATCTTTAAATAATTTATAAAATTTTAATGTCAATCTATATAAGTTCACTTAAAGATTCACATTAAAAACAAAAATAAAAGAGTATGTTTTTTGAATGTTTTATTACTTTATTGAATTTAAATTATTTATGGCATCATTTTGAAAGTATTTATATTTTTCAATTTTTGAATATTTATAATAATTTATTATGTTCTCATTTCGTTACAGTAAGACATATGAAAAAATTCTATTTATTGATTGTTGAATATTCACGAATCATTCACTATCAGAAAATAATTATAATGAAAATTTATACTCGTTATAGAACAACAAACTATATATATTCTTCAATTAAATGTAACCAATCATTCAACTTTCCCATTATTCGAAAACAACTTATAACAAAAATTGATATTCCTTGCAAAAACACAGAAAAAAAAAGTATACTTCATTACTGTATAAACAACATATAGGATCTGTGCAAAAAAAGTATATACATATTGACATCATTCAATATGCATTCAACATTGTAAGCAGTATAAAAAAGATATGTATACTAGATGAAGAATATCATTATATTAAAAAAAAAAAAATTTTTTTTCAATTAAAAGATATAAATGAAAGGAGAAAAATGATTCAATAGTAATATCGATACGTCTTTTTGTTATTGTTAATATTTTATGAACAAGACGGATTGTGTGATATTGTCTGTGGTACACATTGAAAACAAAACCTAATTGGTACGTATAAGAATGCACACGCTCAACGACTGATGTAGGTGTTGAAAAATAGCAACAATTACGTACTATACATATGCATATCAGTTATATTTATGCTCTAATGCTCACAGTGCAATTAATTTTTCTCTGTACTCCCTTGGTATAAAAGTAAGAGACACAATTTCTTACTTCTTCATATCTTCGTCAACATATAATTAAATACATTCGTCTATTCTTTTTCTTTCATCTTAAATATACAAAACAAGTTTACTTCGCGTTTCTACTTTTCATTTTTAGTAGTCGATTTCGTTAAAAGAAAGTTACGAATAATAGTGATAATTTGACAATGGACAACACTACTAATCACGCCATTCATGATACAGGTGATAACTCTTGGATGATGATATCTACTGCATTAGTTTTACTTATGACACCGGCAGTAGCTTTTTTCTATGGTGGTCTTGTTGATAGAAAAAATGTTTTAAATCAACTTTTTCTTTCATTTATTTGTATGGGTATTGTATTTTTACAATGGGTTTTATTTGGTTTTTCATTTGCTTTTGGTCCTCCAATTAGCGCTGGTTTCGGATCATTTCGATGGGCGATGTTACGATTTGGTGAATATACTAATGATATCTATAGTCCAACATATCCATTATTAACATTTGCTGCATATCACGGTGCATTTGCTATTATAACACCAGCTCTTATTTCTGGTGCAATTGTTGGTCGAATGAAATTAGTTCCTTATATGATATTTATTTTTTTATGGACAACTATTTGTTATGATCCAATGGCTAATTGGGTATGGGGTACTAAGGGTTGGTTAAAACACTTGGGTACACTTGATTTTGCTGGTGGAACAGTAGTCCATATCTTATCTGGTGTATCTGGTCTTGTAGCAGCAGGTATTCTTGGTAAACGATCTGATTATGATCCACACAGTACTGTAGATCATAATCTTCCATTTACACTGTTGGGCACCTGTTTATTATGGGTCGGGTGGTCAGGATTCAATGGAGGTTCAGCTAATGGTGCAGAGTAAAATAACAAAAAAAGGAAAATATATGTACAGTATGCAATTTTTTTCATTTCTAGTGGTTTAGCTGCTCTTGCTTTAGTCAATACACATGCAGCAGCTGCTACTGGATTAGTGACATGGGTAGTTCTCGATGCTATTCGTGGTCATATATCTATTTCAGGTGCTTGCATTGGTCCAATAGTAGGTCTTGTAGGTGTGACACCAGCATGTGGATTCGTTCAACCTGGATGGGCAATACTTATGGCTTCTATTACAGCATCTCTCGTCTACTTTCTTCTATTAAACAAACATCGCATGTTTTTTGATGATGCATTAGATGTTGCTATTGTTCATGGATGTGGTATAATAAATTCTAGTATATTGTTTTGAAATAAGCTTTCGTTTTTCATCTTTATATAGGAGGTATAATAGGTGCAGTTTTAACCGGTTTATTTCCTGAAAAATGGGTAAATTCAAGAGACGGCGTTGATGGTGCTTTTTATGGACGACCAATTCAATTGTGGTATCAAATTGCTGGCGTTCTTACTGCCATTGGTAAGTCAACAAGGTTTAAATTTGATATCTAATAATGAAACTGTGGCTAGCTTTTGCTAGTGTATGCACAGCTGGTATTCTCTATCCTTTGGATTGGATAATGGGTATTCGTTTAGCCAAAGAAGATGAACTTCAAGGACTCGATCTAACAGGTATAATCCAATGTTTTTTTTATATTATACTAAAGTGTAAAAAATATATTTATTTTACTTTAGCGCATGGTGAAAGCTGGCAAGTCACTGCATCAAGAACTGTTAGTGATCTTGTGCGAAAAATTCTCGACGAAGAAGGTGTTTCGAAAGAAGAAGCTGAGGATGCTGGAACTTTGGAATTACATTACAATCCTAAAAATCCAAATAAAAAGCCATTTAAAATTCCTCTGTTTAAACGAATAATGTCACGCAATTTTCAATCGAATATTGATTCAATAAGTAGCAATGAAATAGAACAAAATCATAACACTGCAAAGCTTGATGACGATGAAACTCATACACAAGCAAATAATACACATATTATTCACTTTTAAACATATCTCCATAATGTTATATCTAATATAGAACTCAATAGTTTTTTTTTTTGTTCTTCATTTCATATAAAAACTGTCGTGAGAGAAAAAGT